CCACACACACACACACATACACTACACGAACGACGTAGTCGATCGTCGCACTCGAAGTCACGGTATATTATACACAAGGGAGGCAACGTTTTCTTTTTTTATTTAAGGACTCGCTCTCCTCCGCGCTCTTCTCGATCGATCCGGCGAATTAACTCAGAATGAAGGAGCTGAGCGAGGGGAAAGGACGATATTTGACTTTCAGGATTTCGCGCAAAACGGAGTACGATACTCGCTCGCGAGAAGGAGGAGGAATCCGCGTGTGCGAGCCTCTGCTGCCGGCGTAAGCATCGCGCTCGAGCGAGACACAACTCCTCACTACCTCGCGATGTTCTTTCGCGTCTAGAATCAATATTTGATTCCCCGAACGCACACAGACAGTCTGATCGGTAAATATACCGGCGTTTTTAAATATATATACACATACAGTAACATACAATCGAGAGATAGACACATAAGTAGCCGAGACGTCAAGTTCCACACTTTATGTATGATATACGTAAGACAGATGGGTCGATTGTGTTGATTCCCGCACACACAGCGTATAAGCGCACTGGCGTCTCGCGCGCGCTCGGTGTAAGAACAGGTCGTATAATTCCGAATCACAGTCGTAAAGTTGAAAGATGTGTACTAGCATGATATACGAGGCGGCGGCAGCAGCTACACACACATATACACACACATATCGTAATCATTCGAGTAATGCTCGAGCGAGCGAGCATAAAACTCCATATTCCATTGCGCTCTGGTGTCTGCGTCTGTGCCACTGCACTGCAGCATTCGTAGCGCCGCTGCACACTTGCAGTTAGCCGCATCAACGGCCTATAAACACAAACACAGACCGCGCATAGTACAGGGCCATAGACGCACGCGGACAAACAGAGCAGGTATTTATGCCCTTTGTGAGGGCTAACGCGTTGTACATGTATTGTGTACGGTGTGCCGAGTGCTGCTGCTGCTCATGTAGCTGGTCAGCGCACACTCGTGGATAATAATAAGCAACAGCAACAGACGCACTCGAATACATGATCATGCAAATGACTATAGAGTCATTTCCAAATCGGTATATCGTATGTTATTACGCATGTATACACGCACACGAACGAGCTCTTCGCGGAGAGGATCAGTGGCAACAACACATCGGGTTCTTCGCGGCCTCGAGAGCCATACAGCTCGGCTCTTCCCAATAAGGCTCTTTTCTTCTTCTTCTTACACTCGGAGCTACTCTCATGGCTATATACTACCACATCGCCATCGCGATTCCTTACTTCTTCATTTTTTCTCTCTCTCTCGGTCATTTTTACCTGGCCGTGCGTGAGTAAGTTCGAGTACGCGTATGCGTCACTTTCTGCACGCGGTAGTACACCACTGTGCAACACACAATGCAGAGTTCTTAATTTCTTCTTCTGCCCTCGACACCGCGTGATATCGCGTGCGTACACGACGAAGAGAGTGCGTGGGTGAAAGCGAAAATTCGACGTGGCTGGATCGGCTCGGGTCGGGCGTGTGGCTATATTTACAACTCGACGCAATGACAGTGGTATACACGCACGCGTGCACGCAATCTTATTCGCGTCTCTCTTCGTGCGCGTGTATGTATATCTCCTTAATTAGAGCCACCATATGTGTGTCGCCGAGGTGAGCTAGCTGACCGTGCGATTCGCGGGATGCTAAATGCGCGTCGTACAATCAAGAATACACGCAGTGTATACGCATTCGGCCGTGAACGAGCCCAATTCCGATCGAATGAAATTACTCATCGTTAAAGTAAATGTATTTATTCATAAAATAATACGAACTGCTCCCGCGCGCAGCTGCCGAGTAGACTGCGTGTGTCAGGTAAAAATCAGTATCGAATAGAGCAATATCCTTCCTGCGTCATTTCACGTGTGTGAGTATTTTTTTTCCTTTTACATTCGTCATTGAGAGGAGAAAAAAAATATTGCTAAATAATCGAGTACATGGCTGAGAGATAGACGTCGCTCGATTCGAGCCTGCAAGACTCGTCACCATCATCATGCCTGCACAGTAGAATGGCTCCACGAGGAACGATTTATGGATGTCGATTATCTTGAAAATCGATTCGCCTCCAACCTATATATGTGCGCGCGTATCTCTTTTTGCCAAATTTGCATTTGCTGCTGCTGCGTGGCACGCGGTATATATAACGCAACGAACTGCTGCTGCTCGACTGCGAAGCGCGATTGACATTTTTTTTTTTGGTAAACCTCTTCTTTTTTTTCAATTTCAATCTGTTTGCATTGATGCAGTCGCGAAAGCCTGCAGTCAGCTGCGAACTGTTATAAAATTTAATTATTGACGGATCCACAGTTGCGTCGTACCGTACAAAAATTGGTACGATTTTGAAATTTGTCAGCATGCAATAGTGCGCCTGTGGGTATCTTATTCAACCTGCGGCGTGCACACACACAAACACACACATTCATTTATACGTGGAGTAATCGATTCGCGTAAGCCATGATTACAAACACAAGACCAGCAGATATTGTTGCTCGACGAGAAGATATTTCGTCGAATCCAAAAATGCCCAATGTATGTGTACTTATGTACGCAGATGCACATGTATTTACGGCAGAAAAATAAGAGAAAACGTCGGTGCAATGTGTATATACGGCATTACGTACGTACGTTAACGTACTTTACTCTTCCTTGTATGGGACGAGGCCACCGTGTGCATTATGCAGCAGCAGCCGCCAATCGAGGCGTATGCGCGAGAAAGGAGAAATACTTATGGGAGTAATTTTGCAAATGATTTCGTATACACGCGGCAATCGAAGGAGACAATCGCCGATGTGTTTTTGCTGGGGCAGGTATATTATACAGTCGAACGCGTGAATATATCGAAGCAGCGGTATTGTAATAGACGAAATTGACTCGGGGAATAAAAAAAGAATAAGCTCGAGATGAGCTTTTTTAGTCGAAGACAATGCTCGGGCTGTACGTTACAAAAACGGCAGAGGACTAATATAGACTATTGCGGTATTGTATATTACAAAGTGCGCTTTTGCACTCATCGACGCGGCTTATATTAACGGCGCGACGTATATTATTCCGTGTAACAGCGCAAAAACTCGAGTGTAGCAACACTAGCGCAGCAGCTGCCAATGTTTTTGCTTCAAAATATATATTTTACAATATATATAATATATAGCATCAACGGTGTAACGTACGCCAACGGAAAATATCATATCGTACGCTACGACGGCCAGGACGACGACGACGACGATAACAAGGCATATCGCAAATATACGAGGGCATGTAGAAAATTTAGACGATGCAATGGCCTGTAACACACACACATGCACTCACACAGAGTTATAACTTATTGGAGAAGAAGAACTTGGTCGTGGTCCAGAGCAGCTGCATCGAGCGATATAATACAGAGGAGTCACCGGAATCGTTTTCTCTCTCACTCACAGACTCTCTCTCTCTCTTGCTTGGGCTGCAGCTTATACACAAAGACATCCGCGCGCAGAATACGAGAGCTAACTATACGTAACCAGGCGGATACGTGTGTACATGGACATTAACGATATATCTATATAGGTGTAACAACAAAATATAGCCGCGACCTCCGGAAGCATACCTATAGCTCTATATACGTGCACTCGGCATATAGTGTAATATAAACGTGTGTGTGCACGAGTGAATGTATGCAGTTGTATGTGTACTTGCACTCGCGACGACGTTTCCCGAGGAAACTCGCCCGATATTACACTACACGTTTACGCGGTGCCCATTGTAATACGAGTACCTCTACGTACGCACTCATCGCCGCGACTTTTCCTCGGTGTTTACTCGCGATATTACAGTATTATGAAAATAAATGTTAATGCATGTACATGCGGCGCTGCACGACGATGAGTGATAAGCCATTTTCTTTCTCTTTCTCACTTGACTTTTTTTTCCACTTTTTTTTCAGTTTCTTTACATACGGCTCGAGAACATACATCGACAAGAGACAATTCGATACGTATCTCAGGTTCTTATCGGACTCGCGATAACCGCGGCAATAGCCTGTGACGTTTTTTTTCTTTGGAAAAGTTGCGGCTCGATGTATATGGTCCTTGAAGCGAACGAGTGTCTTTTACATTGTTTCATTAGGTATCAAAGAAAGGTATGTTATGAGCTAACCGAGATTATTAATCGTGTTACTCTCGAGAATACATTCATTTCGAGCTTTTCGAAACAAAAAAACAAAAACAAGAGGAAATCTCGCGATCCGTAAGTATCGCAATGGACCCTCCTACCGCAGGCAGCGGCACTAGCGGCGGCGGCAACGGTTACGCCGAGTCTATTCGACGACTGTAAAACATCGAGGAAAAATCTTTCGCCCAGACTGAATAGAAACAGTTGCTATATACATGGCAAGAAATGAACGACAACTGCTTCCGGCTAAAGGTGTGTGTGTGTGTGTGTGTGTGTGTGTGTGTGTGTAATGTGTATGTGTACGCCGCGAGAGGACAATGCGATGTGAAATAGCAAGCCGATACTCGGTGAGAGGATCGAACGACACCGAACATAATAACACATCGTTATAGGTGATGGACGTTATGATGTAACCGTATTCGAATTTCGAACGCGAATTCAAACTTGGAACGTTACTCACGAAAAACAGATGAAAATCAATAATAATACTTAATATAAAACATCGTTGTAGATGACGGACGTGAGGATGTAACGCATTCGAATTTCGAACGAGAATTCACACTTCGAACGTTACATATGAAAAACAGATGAAGGCCAATAAAATCGATTTAAGGCAGCATCCGTGCAATGTTAGCAATAATATACACGTTATAGATGACGGAGACTCTATGCAAGATGTAACGCATTCGAATTTCGAACGCGAATTCAAACTTCGAACGTTGTACGAAAAACAGATGAAAATCGATAAAACCGATGGATGATACAGCATCCGTGCACGATCCGTTCGTGAAAAGTTATAAAATGTTATCAACACGAAATTCGTTCACACTAACCTCGTTGACGAAGTTGCGGCGGAGTCGTAGACGACGACGGGTGACGACGATGAGCCGGCTACACACTGCTGCGACACGGGCGGCGTAGTAGCTGCTGCTGCAGTACCGAGTATAATATTTAAATAACACAAGAGGTCGATGGACTCTCTTCCTTATTTTTTCTCTCTCTCACTTTACACTGCCGAGCCTGAACCACTATTTTTTATATATCAGTGGCTGTATTTTATATCAATACCACCACGACTCGTGCACACAAACACACAAAATTGCAGAAGAAGAAGAAGAAGAAGAAGCAGCAGCACAGACACAGAGAGAAGCACTGTTTGGGCCCTCGCACTTGTCAAAACAAACGACGCGCGGCGAAAAAAAAGGCCGAACGACACAGCTTCGAACTGTATAGGACACTGGTGGCACTCGCGGCGGCGCGTGCTATGCGACGACGAGCCAAGGGTTAGGCTGGTCCATTCACACTAGCAGCAACGGCAGCTTCCACTAGCTGCACAACGACGGGAGCCGCTGAGGCTCCCTCGCCGAACACTGGGGCAACAGCCCCCTTTTTTCTGTATTTCGCTTTTTTAGCTGTTGATGCTGCGACGATAACGACTATGGTGACGACGATGCGAGAGCCAATTTAGGCTCTGGCCCTCTGTTACTCCGGGCGAGCGCACCGCTCGCGGCACACAGAGATAGAGAGAAGCGGCTGCTCTCCGTCAGAGCGAGCACAAACAAAAACAACAACAACAACGACAACACTTATTTTTCTCCTCCTTGGCTTTTTTTTGTGCAACACTCGCGCACGCAAAAACACACGGGACAAAGACACGGACTCACGTGGGGGGTATACGACTGGGACCTTGCAACGGGAGAGCGAGAGTGGACACTTTTCGCGGGGGAGTAACAATACGTAAAATGTACACCACAACCGAGTACTACGATTGTACGTATCGGGCGCGCGTGCTGCGTTGCACAAACGTCGATTGACCGGCACTTGCACACACACACACACTCAACAAACAACTACACTCACGGAGGGCACGCACAACACTCGCGAGTAAATATCTATATAGTTATGAATATAGAAATATGTATATTCGCGTATGGGTAAGGTATAAAGCGACGAAAGCGCCGCCCCGACAGGCTCTCGACTCGCGGGCGTACTCGGACGACTGAATCTGCTCTCCGCTCTGGCGTTTGGCACAGGCCAAAAGTCTGCGCCTCCGTGTGTGTGTGTGTGTGCGCAAAAGGGGAAGAGGGAGGGGAAGCGTCTGCGCGCAAGAGAGCCAGAGAGACTCGGCTCGGCTCTCCCGTGGCTATAGCAGTTGTCGGCGGTGGCGGCGGCCGATGGCAGCGCTACGCTCGCGAACTGCACTAGTAGCAGCAGCAGCAGTGTGCAGGCGAAAATACTACTTATGCTGTGTTAGGGTGGGGAGGACTCGTCGCGTATATATATATGAACACACGCCGTCGGCGTCGTCGTCGAGTCAGTGTCTCTCAGCCGGCGGAGCCGATTTTTGCACAACACGCACACACACACACATCACGACATTGGTATGGTATATATAGTGGCTGTGTTGCTCTTCGCTCGGCTCATGGTATATATCCCAGTGCAAGTGTACTTTGCCCAATAGGTACTGGTGCTGCGCCATGGCGAAGGGAGAGTCAGAGCGACACTGGCGCGCATACATATAGCAGGCTATATAGCATAAAGCCAGAGCGAGAGAGAGAACGTGTGCTGCGGGGGAGGAACGGGCGCGCGTGTCTGCAGACTTCGATTTTTTAGCACCGCGCTACCTACTACTACCACTACTACTACTCTCTGCCCGAGCGCTGCGTATTATAGTGCGCACGGAGAGTAAAGAGCGAGAAGCTGCGCCGTATATAACGCCGCGCTCTGTGTAGTCCCTCTGTAGTGGTGATGCTGCGCTCTTTATTGCACACACACACATGACTCCTTTCTCGTACATGTGTGCGTTTCTCGCCATGCATTCATTTGCTTATATATGTATGCGCGCGAGTGCAAGGGAGAGAAAGAGAGACCGTATCGATGCGCCAACTTGAAACTTCTTCTTGAAAAGCTGCTGCGTGCAGTGCACAGCACACTTCTGCTCGGTGCTCTGCATGCGACGACGACCAAGACCCTTTGCTCATAATATACAATCGTCTGTGCCGCTGAGTGTCGAGCTCCTTATTCGCCGCGTGCACAGCTTCGGATGCTGCTCCGAAACAGCAGCAGCAGCAGCACAGAACAGTGGCGGCATAGCGGCCTTGACTCGTGACGCTTCTTTGCTCCCTATTATATATACACATAACACATCGGGCACGAGGCACGACGAGCTGCTTTCTGCGCTCGATTCTTTGTTTATACGGGGGCTGTTGCCGCTGCTGTATTGGAGCACAGTCGTGTTTCGATTTCTAACGCGCGTTATGTATAAAATATACCTACGGAGACATGTATTAGGCACCAAGACGCAGCCAGAGAGAAACGTACATTTTATCTATGTGTGTGTGTGTACGTATCTGTAAACTTTACGCAAAATTTGTGCTCCCCGTTGCCATAATACTAATACATCTATAGGATGTATGAAGCTGCTTGTGTGCAGCTACAGCGAAGCAGGATCGATGCTCTCGCCACAACCACCGCTGCTGCTGCTGCTGCTGGCGAAAACTCGTCGTTATACTTACTCGACGTAGTACAGTTGTATCCATTTGTGCGAATATGTCCGATTGTAACTTTATTATAAACTCGTTCAACCGAGTATTAGTGACTGTAAATAGCGCGTATTGGGTTTTTCTTTTCTCTCTCTCTCTCTCTCTTCCAAACTCATACACTCATTACTTTGATCAAAAATAGATTTCGCGTAAGTTGCGACATTGCACCGTGGCGTTGATGACTTTCAACGAGATACAACGAGATTCCGATGATTGAATTGCCTCACATTTCGATGTTATTTTTGGTCATCCTCGTGTGTTTATGTGTGTACTTATAGGAACGCGATGACGATTCGTCGTCGACGATAATCAGTAATACGATCTCGTAAATCGATCCTATCATCCCGAATGATTATCTCGAGCTTTTAATCGTCCCGGAGTCCAGTTCCGGACCCATGGCTGTCACGCCCCGCATTTTACTATCTCAATTGTATTTATACGTGTATATCCGCAGTTGTTCGAAATGATCGTGATCGCACTTATATACAAGCTCGTATGAGTACTATGGGCTAATCGTTCAGCGTAATCGATGTAATTTTAACTTGTTTTTCTTTTCACGTCGATTGCGTGTATACCGATGTAATAAGTATGTAAATGGGAAAACGGGTGTGTACGATATATATTATTATCAAAAAGCGATATATTTCTTAAATGTTGCGTCAATGTCAATGGGCGACGATTCGATTTCGATCCGTTTTGACGACGAGATAAAAGGTGTAAAAGTGAACTCGATCGACCCGTGGCCTTTTTTCCATTCAAATAGATATATCTCGAATCTGCATCGCGTGTTCAGCGGAGAATATAATTGTATACTCTAAAGAGAAAACGCCGACAAGTAAAAAAAAATAGCGAGTCGACCTAATTGAATATCAAATTTGATCATCTAAAAATTCAATAATATCGACCGGGAGAGGTGTACACAGCTCTCTCGAACTAACTCACACCCACGCAGACACATGTCCGCGGGGGCAATATTGCGAAAATTAATAATCCACAGCGCGACGGATCACGAGCGTGACATCGTATTATATGTTATGACATTACGTAGCCAGGCGAGGCCTTCGGATTCGCGTCCGCGCCACGATGCTTCGGATTGAAAAAAGTCATGATAATACGCCGAACGAGCTGTATGCACAGCATAATATCTGTACACCAGCTCGATGTATTTAATACGAAAAATGGAAAACGCGTTAGTCTCGCTTCTTTTTTTGAGGGGAGAATATGTAACGTTATGAATTATTGACGCTCGAGCGAGGACGATACGCGACGAGGGGCGCAGCGCAATTTTAGCCGTAACCGTATGCAATAGTTGTATACGTATAATGCGAGGCAAGGTCAGAACATCCCAGGCGCGACGATGCTTATTTTATCATCAATAATAATTGCAATTGGATCGTCGCGTCTTGCCCGAGTCGATATATACGTATATTAACGAGTTACATCGCTCCAGTCTCTATTTTACAGCTTCTCTCTCTCTTCTCGTTTACTACATCTAGACAGAGTGCAGAGAGAGAGAGAGAGAGAGACTACCGAGTCAACTCACCTCGTTCTATTATGCGCTCGGTCGCTTACACGTATACGCTACATTACATATACAGTACTAGGCTATTATACACGCGGGCCCGCCAGAGCTGCAAGCTGGGTCAAATTTTGCTTCCATGCATGTATATCGGCGTGCATGTGTAAAGTTGCCACACGTACACAACACACATATGCACAACTTATTTAGTTCACAACGTTGCGCCTCGTCTTTGTGTGTAGCGCGAGCGCGAAAACGAAGCTCATTCTGACCCGGCTACGCTGCCGATGTTGTACAGCATAACAACACGACGATATAACGTCGGGGGAGGGCAGCTGTATCAGACTCGACCTCGTGGTCCATTATATACGCGAGTGTGTGCCTGAACGCTTTCTTTTCCTCCTCGTTTATAAACATATACAGTGCGCAGTTACCAGCGTCGCTTTTTTTTTGCAAGTCGGGCACGAAGCGAGATATCTCGCACTTGCCGGCTCTGCACTTTTAATTTTGTTCTCTCTCTCTTCCTCTCTCTTGGTTGCGGCTCCGTTTTTCGCAGCTCCCCCGGAGCTCTCTCCGCCGTATAACAGCGAGCCGACGATGTGCATTTCTTGCTGCGTTATATTACGGCGCACGGTAATGATACACACGAGCGCTCCGAGCCGCCACCACCGCTGCTGCTTCTTCTTCTTCTGCCTCATTAGGAGAATTTAACGCGTATACAGATATATCTATACTGCACTCGCTTATAGCCGAGCTAAGAGATATCGCTTCGTCGAGTGCCTGCATCTATTAGAGCAATGATAATATACCTATGTTTGGACGAGGATAACTGTGCGCCGTCCGAGCTCGTGCACGAGTCCGACGAAATAATATAATTTGCTTCTTGTGTTTTTTTGTTCTTGTCGTTTTGTACAGCCGTGGTCGAGTCTAATAGGATTTAATGTGCGCTATATAGGCTCGACGTAGTTATACTCCAACTCAAGACGCGACTGCACTGCATAGCTTATTATGTTATGGTAATAAGCTAGGCAATCGGACATAATAGACGAACGATGAAGGGCTGCGAGCAATGTGTGAAAATGCATACGTGTGAATCGATGCGTCGATGACGTGCGGTCGTCGTCGTGCTTATACAGAGACGAGTTTTCGAATAATTTGGCCGGTAAAAGGAGACGAGCGATCGAGACACGTTGAATGGATTATCGAGGCAAACCGTAGTAAAATATACTAAATTTTGTCACAAAATATTAGGTGCAGCCGCGAATTCTCGGCAGCATTTGATTTTTCAATCGATTTCCCAACGACATGGCTCTTGTACGAGTCATCGCTTGCGTCAGTCTATATAGATAGATAATGTACAGCCTTATTTATGTGGTAAATAAGTAAACGATACATGTAATAATAAGCGCGACACATTTAGTGTGACTTTTAAATTTTGTCGGTGGATACCGATGGATACGGGTCAAGCGAACATCGAGCCTACATGCCGCGTCTGTGTGCGATGATTTAAACAGGGTCCCTGCGGAGAAACGCGACCCCGACGAAAAATTCACTCCTCTGCGGACCGCGAGCACGGAGAAAAATGTCAAATCACGACGATCCGTTTTTTGTGTACGTTAATATACGATACGAGCCGATCGCTCGCTACTCTCGCCCTGCGAACGATCCAATTTTTTCACCTCTCTCTCCTCTCGTCCCGTCCCTCTACATCTTTGTACGTACGTCGAACTCGGCGCATGGACTTTCACCCACGTTATAAATGCATACGTTGTACAAGAGTCGGCGGTGGACCTCTGGCCGCGCCGAGCGGTAGTACCACATATACAATACACAACGTGTAGCCGAAGCTTTCGCCCACGCGCGCTATCGATAGGAAACGATCTCGTCGAGTTGGAGCGCGACGGCGGCATTATGTACTT